AAAATGATAACAATTTCTCATAATAACTACCATGTCTTGTAGCCTAATATATAACTGCCTCAAACCCTCTGGTGGTGCTTTCGGTTATTCACAAAAATTATTTGTAAAAATAAAATTCTTGAATTTCAAATGAAGATAATCCTGGGTTATGTTGTCATTATGCAAGTAATGTATGATTTTATGCATATCATTATATGTTTTACAGTCTTAATTTAATGTTCATTAGATCAATTTCCAAATGACATAAGAGAAATTATTTATTGTGACATTGTAACAATGCCAGGCTGCAATGTTCTTCACCTCAAATTAGTAGTGGCTTGCCTCTGTACATCATACTTTTCCTTTAACAATAGAGTTATGCCAGTCACCTATCTAACACCTTTCAGGGGAATATTTTTGAATTGAAATAACAATTTCTGGTTTGCATTGGAAGTTTTTATATAGTGAATTGAGACCTCCTGCCCCTAAGGTTTCCGTATCTGGTCTTGTCTTTCATCAATCTAACGCCATTCTTAAGATTAAGGAAAGACGCAGGACAAACAACAGTGGGAATTTATAGGTCTACAATTTTTTCAAATTGCAGCCCGATGATAAAGTTCACTGGTTTAACTTTGTTGCTCGTCATGTGATTTCTGTGTTGGTTAGAGTCAATGACAAAAAATGCATAGTGATAATGATAATCCCAGCTTAATATTTACTTTTATATTGTAGCTATCATTTTACTATTTGTCTATTACTAATTCGATCAGTAACTTCTCTACAAATATATATCTAAACTATAATATTTTCTTATTCTAGATTTTAATAATTTAAAAATTTTGTATTGTTAAATACATTTTTGTTTTTTAATTGATTTTAATTATTGGAAATTTTGTTTAATATTTAACTGTTAAACCCCATATGGTGTGTTGTGTGTCATTTTCCAAAGTCACACCATGTTGTGGTTTGCTTCATTGCTTACAGAAATGAAGTAGGTGAGCTTGAATATGTGACCAAACAAGTTAATTAAATTCTATACAAATCAAAAGATTGAATTAAGATTGAATTAATTAATTTGATTTAATAAACTTTAAGGAACATTTTTGTTTATACAATCATAATATTTGTATTTTAAGAAATCAAACTCATCATGCAGTTTTTAATATTTTGTCATAATATGCAAATAAGTATGCAATGTGTTGTACATAAATAAATATACATTTGTGTTAATGGGGCAATTTGTGGAAAATAGATTATTCAATTATTTTGAAATTTTTCAATGCCTCAACTTGATGCTATTTGTACTCTGTACAAATTTGGTGTATTTGAATGTTTTAACAAAAAAGATATTATAATGAATTTAAATTTAAAATGAAAAAATCCAAAATATGAGCATAGCAAAAGGTGTTATGTTGGTACTGTACATGTAGTGGCAGATTTCTGCACAGGCACACGAGACACATGGCTGGAGCCTCAAAATCAAGGGCTCATAGATCAAGGGGGCCTCAAAATTCAGCTCTCAAAATAAAAAAAATTATTTTATTTAATTATTATTTTTTTCATAATAAAAATAATTAATATTTTAGCAGTATTCCCTAAATTAAATTCACAAATGAATAATGCCAGCTATGACATGTTTTGTGGGTGCTAATCAGCAGTAAATTTAAAAATAAATTATTTTTTATATCCATGGATTACTAGATTTTTTTGTTTTTAACACTTTTACCTAATGAAAATGAATAATTCTTGTACCAATAAGTTTCAATTTTCATACTTAATACAATCTGAACATCAGTAACCTTTTAAATACAGCCAGGCAGTTGTAATTTTATATTGGTCAATTTTTAATATTATTTCCCTATGTCTCACTTTTTTTGGACCACTAGTATAGTGCCTACCAGAGTAAGAAACATGCACATAGACTGCACACTGTAGGGTGTAGGGATAGTGAAAATATTTAGAGAGGGTCTCAAAATTAAATTGCACCTGGGGCCTCTCAAGTGCTAAATCTGCCACTGGGTACATGGATGAATAGTTGAAAAATGCATTCATTTAATATGAATAAATATACAAAAGAAGACATATTTTTCAAGATGGAAAATCAAGAAAACATTTAAATTGATATATTGCTGAATTGGAATCATAGATATTATTAATAATGGGAAATAAGTTTTATGATTACTGTATTTATAATCATTATTAAAAAATAGCAACTGATGAAATGACTTCCAACTAAAGAAAAGTACCAATGTAAGTTATATTCCAGGGGTGGCCAACCTGCGGCTCGCGAGCCACATGCGGCTCTTTGAAGGATTATTTGTGGCTCTCGATAAATGTACCCGAGTTCCCTTTTCATTTTTGTGTTATTATATTTTTAAAAATTATTATCGTTTGTATGTGTTTCAAAATGTCTTTTAAATTACTAACAACAAATATGAAAGACTAAGTGCAACGTTGTAACAAATTTCATTTCCGTCCAAGTTAAGAATGATATGACTCATCGAAAACTGCGCGAACGAACATAAACAGTGGCGTAATCGTCCGTTATCGACCGACTCCAGACCGATTTTGAATTTGTAAACTGTCATTGCAATGGACAGTTGACATTGTGCTCTGGAGGAAACAATTTGTATCACTCTTGCTACGGATATAATTTGTAATCTGGAATTTTTTGCATACCTTTTTAATACGTATTTAATTGCGGCTCGCGAAAAATTTTAAATTTTGAAAAATGGCTCGGACTATCAAGGAGCTTGGCCACCCTGGTTATATTCCTATAAATTTTAATTCAAGGAATGTTAATTGATAGATTCTAAAATCCAAAATTAAAACTGGAAGAGATAACTTGTAAAATGAAAACCATTCACACTTTTCCAGCAAAATATGGAATTTCAGAATTCTCTAGTTTGAAACCTGAGGAAGGTTTCTAAAATAAATTGAAAACGTTTGTTCTGTAAACCATTTTGCTGGAAAAGTTGTAAATGGTTTTTATTTTACAAGTTAATTAATAGATATAATATGATAATAACAACCAAATGAATTCTTTGGATTATTTAGAAAAATCATTTTGTTGAATGTCAAATAATATTTATTAATGCCAAATTTTTGAATAATGTGCTATTTCAAATCTGACAAACTTTTTTTTATATTCTATGTTATTTGTACTAACCTAGAAAAATCATTTTGTTAAATTTGAATTTTTGAATAGCATGGTATTTTGCTTATTCCAAAAAGTTTCCTTTTGTTTATTTTTCATTTTGATAAAATTGAAGTAAATGTGAATTTTGATTCCTTGAAATGTGTGATATTTTGTCTAATGTGTGAATTACTGTGGTGAGATGCATACTGTCTGGAAGGGGCAGAGAATCCCACATGACATGTCATATCACATGATGTAGCAAGCCATGTGAGGCTTTAACTTTTTTTTTTAATAAATAAATAGCTTTATGAACATATAAATGAATGTACAAAAATATGCAATATAATTATGATTTTATTATATGTAGAAATGTTAATGTAGTTTATCATACATTAATACTATTATCATGAAATTTACTGTGATATCCTTAGTTATACTAGGTATGTGGATGATATTTTGATTTTATGGAGAACAAAACCTGATAGGGGAAGGCGTTAAAAATTTTTAACAAGAGCTACAGACTAACACTAGAATTAGATCAGGAAAGTTAAACAAGGTTAATTACTTGGACATCAAGATTTGAATGGCAAATAGAAATATAATCACAGTGATTTACCACAAACTCATATACATTCCCCTCATTATACCTGCTAGCTCAGTGGACCCTTGGCCTTTTAACGTAGTGACATTCCAGGCCATAGTTACAAGGGTGCACTCACATCACTCTGAAACAGTGATACCAATAACAAACTTGACCTTGTCAAACATATAGCATCTGCCCATGGGTATCGAAATTTGTTAATCAACACACTCGCTTCCACACAGCAATCTAAGTTAGCTAACACCAGTACAAGGGTTAACAAAGCAGAGTGTAATTGTAGAGACAGTATGTTACAAACTGTCTCTACATCAAATTTACAACAGGATTTCTAGTTATTTAAATTTGTGTTAAACTTACAAGAGAAAACTCAATGTTTTCTGCCTTTTAACTAATGCAAAAGACAGCATGGATGACACAAAAGCACCAGGGGTGTACCATATTCCATTACAAAGTGGACAATTTAACAGGTATATAACATACATCGGATCCACATACAAATCTCTTCAAGCCAGAATATGCAACCATAAATATGATGCAGCCGAAGGGAATTATAACACAGCACTTACCCATTATGTTGCCAAACCTGGGGTTTTCCTGTTGGGATGAAGCTACCCTGTTACATAGGGTCTTTGACTAACATATAATCTTTGGAGACTTTAGAAATTTATATAGCTTGCAAGAAAGGAAATTGCATCAACTCTGACTGTATTCCAGTACTGCAATTGTAGAAATATTATTTAGATTGCCACAGAATGTAATAATAATAATTTTATTTGTAGCTTTATTTAAAAATAATTATTTATTTAATTTTGTGACGTAAACGAGACAATGTCTGTATTGAACATCTTTTTAAATGTTTAAAAGATTGGAATGATAGAAATTTTTGTAAGATAGAACTGTTTATGTATACATTCTTGATGGGGTCCTCTAAATGATGGCCAAAAATGTTTGAGCAGTAAATTTTTTGTTTATTGTTTGCTGGAAAATGCATTTAGGTGTTGGCTAGTTAATCATACAGTTCCAGTTTATAAGTGTGCCATTTTTTGATTTACTATGATATATTTGTTAATTAAATATTATTACGAATTTTATATGCATATTTATTTATTTTTTCATAAATTCAAAATTTTGTGATTAATTTTGTTTAAAATATAAATCTTTAAAGGTTACATGTAATCCTTACCATAAAATTTTTTAATAGAATTCTCATGTAAGAAAGAATTATGAATAACAAAAAATACTAAAGTATCTAAATAATAATTAATTTATATTTACTTTCAGGTGCCTTTCTCATTCCATATGTTTTTTGCATTATTTTCTGTGGCATTCCTCTTTTTTTATTGGAAGTTTCTGTTGGACAATACCTTAGCTCAGGTGGAATTGGTGTTTGGAATCTTGTTCCTATCATGAAAGGTATTGAGAATTATATTAATTTTAATTTTTTAAGATTTAAGATTTTAATATATTATAAAAATATATTTTTATTTCAAATAATAAAAGTCAAAAAGTCAATCATGTTTATATTAATTGACATAATGATATTTAATAAACTTTAATATACTATTAAGAGTAGTTTTTATAAGTTAATTATAAATCTAATTTCATTATTAAAAACATAATTTGCTATAACAATATATAAACATTTCATGACAAAGACTTTTGACATAAGATATTCATAATTAAAAATTTAGCAAATATCTTGATAATAAATGATAGTGTGAGACCAGCAAGTGAGACAAAGATGCACAATGGAAAATAGATAAAATAAAATACAATAATTTTATTAACTTGCTCATTATGATACAGGTTTCTAAAGATACCAACAATGCTACACCCACCGAATAATCCACATCATTAATTATTCAACCACTACACAATATGGTCTCCCAACAAAGAATGTGCACGCGTAGTCCTTTGTCCGACACGATTATCCAATTACTTAAGATTATGTTAATTAAAAATAGATTCTTATTACTACTTACAACTATTGAATAGAGAAGGCTTATTAGAAAATTTAGAGAATGAAAGTAAGGGATAGGAAAGAGGGTACCCAAAACTTGATGATGTATGCTGCTTGTATGGGATCGTGGATGATATCTTGCGTTGGGTTGGTGACTAACTCCCTTTTTGTCGCTCTCTAAGATATTAGTCCCAAGGGCCAATGCGTCCTGTTCCTCACAATTAATTCCTTTTTATTTCTCAGTTCCAAAGTTCTTGTCTCTATCATACGGTGCTAAATGTACTGGGGAGACTTCCTCTCGCTCTCTCTCCTTTGGGTTCCTCCTTCGGAATGACCACGTGTTCGCCTCCTCCCCTCAAGGCTGCATTCCACTTGTTGTTTCTCGGGTTAGTCATCCACATACCAAAGCCAAGGGTAAAACAAGAACATTCCAGGAAGGGTAGACAAATAGGACAGAAAGAGGTGAAGCAGAGAATATACAAGATAAAATAACACAATTATATACAAAATATACAATAAATTTTTTTACCAATATTTAGAATGGACCTTCAGGTGGACATAGGCTGTATATTATTCCATTAAACATTCATATAAATTAAAAGATATCATCTAGGTAAGCATTATATTTTTGGTGTCAGCGGGTAGCGAGGGGCAAGATGTGTATGTATATGAGATAGGTAACCATGTGGCACAGTCATGTGGTCAACGAGATAGGTGTATATTGATTTTTTACTGATACTGTTATAGTCACAAACTGAATTCCATGCAGGCGTAACTGCAGGCACAGCTAGTACGAAATAAAGCCACAGTCTGCAACTTTGAATCAAGTATGGTTCTTAAAATTCTTTATTAATGATTCCAAAATAAAAAATTTGTATTTGCAAAAGAAACAAAAAGTTAATTATATATTTTATTCTATAAATACAAATAAAATATTCTGAGTTAACAAATATAAATAAGATTAATATTAAATCAATTAATAATAATTATATATATATATACATTTATATTTAATATGTACAGTTAGTGTTGCCACCTTTTCAAAATCGCTGACCCAGACGGCAGGTCAGGTTTGTTCAAACAGAAGTTCCTGATGCATGCGCAATGTCATTTTACAGTGCAAAGAATAACGTGCATGCCAGTTCTAAATCAGTTAGAGTTAGGGACTAGGGACTTACGTAGGAGTAATGTAAGTAACCCTAAATTAAGAAAGAACAGGTACAGATGACTTAGCTCTATTGGATATTGTTGGAGACATGTATGATTGCACATGCAAAAAAAAAAAAAAATAAATAAAAAAAAGGTCGACAGGTTGCACACCATACGTCAGCGTAAACAGACTAAATGGCAGAATTGCAGATGAGTTTCAGTGAGTGTGAGTTCTTTCTCTGTTAAAATAGTGTAAATTTGTAGAAATATTTGAAAGAACTTTGTTTCATTGTAATTTCACAATTTCCACAAAGTTCCTGGACAAAATTAATAGTTCACCCGGACAGTGAGTCAATTCATGGACTGTCTGTGTGAAAACCGGTGGGTGGTAACACTATTTACATTACACTGTTGCCAACCATCAGCATTTGGCACTGACTATCAGCTTTTTTAATGCTCCATCAGTGGACAGGCCACTTTTCCCTTTTCTCAAAATTTTTAAAGATTTTGATATTATCACATAAATACTTTATTTAACAAGTCTAATACCAATACATATGCTGAAGACATCATATTTATTTTATTATGAACAACTGAAGCAAACTAGAAAGACATTCTCATATGCTTTCAATTGGAAAAGAACTAAGATTGATATTTTTATATGTATATGTTGATATACATATGAGAATTTTAACTCAAATATGATAATTTTAAATGGCAGATATGATAAATTGTATCTTAAAGTCTGGCAATGTTAGTGCTAACATACTGGCAATTAAATCAATCATAGCCAATTCATCAGCGGAAGGAATTACTTTTACAGTTAGACCAAATTATTGAGCAGCACTACAGTTTCTTTGTAAATAAGTCTAGTATTTATAACAGATGTTGATGGTCATTAATAAAATAATAGACAACAACCAGATGAAGCAAAATCAAGAAAATAACTGTATAATTGTTGATATGGTTTATAGAAATTATTTATTGAAGTTATCTGATCTTCACAAAATTTTAATTACAATTTTATTATTATTGAGTTTAAAATTTCATCAAGTTTAACAAAACCAGTTTACATGAACTTGCTTAAATTTATTTGTTAAACCAGTTTAATTAACATATCAATTAAATTTTAATGACGATCAATGAAACTGTCCAAAAGAATTTGAATACTGTGTATACTATATAACTAAACAATAAATAAGATAAAATTCAAAACTTACTGAGCATTTATTATTACCACAGAATTCTTAAATGTTGCTTTCATTAAAATTAAATTAGCATATTCATTTTAGAGTTAACATATCTTAACACATGGAGAAAAGAAAATTATAAATATTATATGTAATATGGTTTTATTAATTTTATTAGTTTTTAATCATTAATAAATCAATGCTTCTAATATATAAAATATTTTATAATTTAAACAATTATTAAGCAAGACTAAACTTTTTAATTTGATATATTTTCAAGAACATGGATATGATATTCCTAAAGTGTTTAAAAAGAAATTCTTACTAGGATTGCAAAATAACTTAATCAGATGTGATCTTGGATAATTTATTGCTTAGAAATGTTTTGAGAGCTGTAGATTTAGAATATAATGACAAAAATGTAGTAAACATGGATTATGATAACATAATTTCTAACTAGCAGATACAACTGTAATAAATTCCAGCAAATGTTAAATGAAAATTGACAAATGCTTTTGACCTCATTAATAGACCTGTTTCAGATCATAAATCTTAAACCTGCTGAATTCGAACATTGAATTCAATAGATTTAAGATTTATGACCTATTTTTTCCAGTTTTTTGAGTAGTTTCTAATAATTTCTAACTTTTAGTTTACTTAAATAAATTACTGGTATTTTCATTTAAATTGATGATAATGAAAATTATTCATTAGAACTAAAGCATATATAATTTGTTAAAAACTATATTATAAAAGCATTAGTATCCTAAGAATATAATACATTACTTTATTTATTAATTATTTTACAGATTACAAGTCTGTTTGCTTTTAGCAAAATAACAAACATTACACTTTAAACACTTTAGGAATATCATATCCATGTTCTTGAAAACATATCAAATTAAAAAGCTTAGTCTTGTGTAATAATTGTTTAAATTATAAAATATTTTATATATTAGAAGCATTGATTCATTAATGATTAAAAACTAATAAAACATTTTCATTCTACAGTTCACTATAATTTGCTTCCATATTATTCATAAGTTTTTCATAGCCATTATCAATTAAAATATGCATTACAATGGATGTTTTATTAAGAATAATGTTATTTTAAATATGTATATTGGCTTAATCTGTGTAAATAAATAGTGTTTAATAGCAAAATAAATGTAAGACAGCTTTCACAGCAGGACATTCTACAGGGTGTTGCAAGAAAAGTGTTCTTCCTGGAAATGAGTGATAGAACTCATCAAGATAGGCAAAAAATGTAGAATAATGTTGGCAAATTTGCAATAGTTACGAAAATATTCAAGGTTAAAGTTTTGCCAAACATGCTAGAATGGGCCACCATTATCAATCAATCAATCAACCCATTACAAACCTGCCAATTGTTGACCTATTACTGAAAATGCAAGCTGGTGAAGGATGTCAACGTAAAATGGTTGTGCATGACCTTGGCAATATGGCTTGTAATTTATTGAATAAAATTCAATTTTAAACTGTAATATAGTAATCAGTAAAAAGGTTTTTTAAAATAATTAATTTTGAACTTTCACAAAGATTCTTTCGGTAGAACAGATTGAAAAGCAACCACAAAAAGACTTTTCAATGTTCTTTATTTTTTTCCTCCTATAAACTGTCAACATGAGATTCTAAAACAAGTCATTTTTATTGGAACTTTAACCTCAAATATTTTGGTAACTATGTGAATTTGCAAATATGATACTCTACATTGTTTTGCTTATCTAGATAATAAGGAATACTCTTGTTGAAAAAGTTTGACCATTTATATTTAAAAGCTGAATATTCTTTATTTATAATTGTTTATATAATATATTAATAGTCTTTATGTCGTTCAAGGTATATTTAATCAGTATTTATAATTTTATATTGAAAAATTGATGCTTAGTCAAATTCTTATTTTCCTTATTAAATTATAACAACATATTATTTATATAATTAATATGATATATCAAAAAATCTTTGTTAATGATAAATAAAATTATGAAATAAAAAAAATAGATTGTTTTTTATGTTTTGCATATTAATTATGTTTATGTTTTTAGATTTTTAAAAGTCTATATGTGTACATATTTGTGTTTAAATATAAAATACAGACAAAAAATTTACAAAAATTTTTGAAAATTATTACCTAGTAATCAGGGGTGTCCATACATTAGGGCACTTGGGGCATGTGCATGGGCGTAGCCAGAGTTATGGGGGGCCTAATAGACACAAAATTGAATTATTTCAAATTATTGTTTATTAAAATGAAAATTCCATAAGAATCGACAATAACTTAACACACACAAAATATGAAACTTCCTTTAATCATAACATTGCGCACAGGGACCCATTGGATTCAGAATTTTCAGCTTCAATCTATTTTTTTTGCAAACCAGCTCCACACTTTTTCAGCTGTGATTTTCTGGGGTGGGCACCAGGTTAACTGGAGGGGCTGTGCCCACCCAGATCCCCCTTGCTACGCCCATGCATGTGCCTTCTTTGTTGTCAGGTTACCCAATAATCCCCACGGGGGCTCTAAGGTTTCATTTTAAAGGGGCTCTTAGATTTCATTCTGTCATTTTATTTAAAAATTAGTTACTGATTTTTATCACAGAGAACTTTTTACTGATGACAAAATTAAAATAGTATTTCTAATTGTAAAATATTTGTTATTAACCAAAACTTTGTTCTAGCAGGTCATGATTGTTTGGTTGAGTACCAAGGTACTATACCACTGTATTTGATTAATGTAATTTTGATATACATGATGGCATTGAGGTATATATACTGTATATTTTATATAATGTAGTACAATGCCCATTTTTTTTTATAGCTTGTGCTCCTCTTTTTTATAGTCTGCAGGTGCTGCTGCTAGTAATAAAATAATAAATATCAATAGTCACAACTACAATATACACTAAAATTTAATTTATTTATTATATTAAAATTGCTTTTAAAATTATTACAGTTATAACTATAAAAATTATAATATTTCTGGTAAATACTTAAAAAAAATCATTATTTTTAGGTATTGGTTTTGCCTCTATGACAATGATTGGATTATGCAATATATATTATATTGTCCTGATTGCATATACATTGTTTTATTTTGTGGCATCATTCACCAATCCTCTACCTTGGGAAAAATGTGGTCATGAATGGAACACTGAACGTTGCATTAATTCCAGAAATGTTTCCAGCAGTAATAATAATTCTGTTACAAGTAATTTTACAAGTAATTTTACATCTCCAGTAAAAGAATATTGGGAGTAAGTAAATTAGAAAATAAAATTTAACATATAAAGCTTATAATAAGTCCTTAATGTACAGTAAATGAATCAACTATTTACTTTAAATATATTATATAAAATTTATTAATTTTTATTTATTAATCTTTATACATTATTGTAATGTATTGCAAATGTAAATAATTAACACATTATTTTTGAAGTTTGTTTTAAATTCATTAGAGAGGTTGTGGCCGACATTTTCATCGCAAAAACGTGTACGTCGGATGTTCAGCACCACCTTCCTGTAAACCTAGAAGTTTGACAATGGCATTTGATACATCAAGCATAATTCCACTGATGTTCCAAATGCCATTGTCAAACTTCTAGGCTTACAGGAAGGCGGCACTGAACATCCGACGTACACGTTTTTGCAATAAAAACGTCAGCCGCAACCTCTCTATTATTTATACATTTCATTAAATCTTTTAATGCTGAGTGAATATCTTACATTAACTTTCAGAATATTGGATTTTATAATTTTTAAAAATTGTTATAACATCAATATTAATAAAAGTTTAAGGAGAAAGAATGTTGAAAATTGCTATATATTACTATTACATATGCACTCTTTTTGTTCTCAAATTTTCTATTTTAAATAAAATATATTAGTTTTGGTTTGGTATTTATTTACAAAAACAACTCCAATATTATAGACTATAAGCTGGGCTGTCAAAAGAAGGGAGCTAGGGATTTTTCTCTAGGGTCAGAGAAACTTAGGGTTCCTACGGTGATTCCAAACCCTATAAAATTAACATTTTTACTAACAGAAAATAAAATCTTTAAAACTATTTTTTATTAATAAAGGAACATTCTATGTATTTTATTTGTTCAAAGAACAAAAGGCCATTTTATGGGCCTTTAGTTTTTTGAACAAATAAAATACGTAGAATGTTCTTTCATTAGCTCTTAAAGGATTGTTTTTAGCAGATACCATGCAAGCTTTTGACAGCTCTGATTACAGAATATATTATAGAAACCTGAAAATACAGTACAAGGAATAGAAAAAATATAAACTTTAAAAAACAGTTAATAAAGATCAAAGTATTTTTTTTTTTACAATTTGAACAGTAAAATATTTTTGATTATTTAGTAGTCCAAACATAGCTAATATTGCAAAGAACACAATTACTTTTAAGAAACTAATAAAGTAAAAGCTTTATTTATAAATAGTTTTTCACCATTCTTTTTGTCTATTGTCACTTTTGGATATGTAAATTCCAAAGCTCTTTCAATTCATTTGATTCATCATAAATTTCAACAACTAATACATGTGGATATTAAAATATTAATTATTAATGGTGATAAGCTACAGAAAGGCTCAAAAATGTATTAAACTATTTTCTTATAACTAAATATAAATTTTTAACATTCTTCTTTATTAATGAAATATAATATGTCTTTTAATATTTTAACTTTAGATTATTTTCAGTTATTTTTTAAAATGTTCCAATTAAATATTTATATATTCAACTACATTTTAATTTATTACTAATTTGATTGCTTTCTTTAGTATAATATATTTCAATCAGTTTAAAAATAACATTGACATTTCTTTCTATAGAAATTCTCTCTCATTATTTAAGAATTTTCATATGTAATGTATATTTCACCTGGATAAACTACAACTGCTGTTAATGCAATTCTTTTTGAATATATTTTCAACTTTATATCATCAAAAATACTATGGTTATATTACCCAGGTGTCTCCTGGTTTCATCAATTAATGTAATAATAAATTTTACTGATTTTTCAAATTAAGAAATTAGAATTTAACTACAGTTATTTAATTGGTTGTCATAATCACAGGTTTATCAATTACTTCATTGATATTTTTTTGTTTAAATAGATTTTATATATATATATTTAAAAATATCATTAAATGTGAAAATAAATTCTAAACAAATAATGATTATGATTTATTTCATTATTTTGATTTTTTAATAATTAAATATTCAAATTTTATTTTCATTGATTGATTTAAATAGGAACTATAATAAAATGTATCTTCATATGATAATTACAAACTTATTGCAATTACAATTATTTGCAAACTTTAATTATTATATTATTATGTACTTGTAATTATTATTATCAAGCTATAGTTATTTCAGAGAAGTTCCATTAGCATAAATATATAAAATGAATATAAAAATTTAAAATATACTTATGTTATTCATGGAGTATATCCATGAACAATTATATCAATTTGGTGAAAATTCTCTGAACAAAAATTGAAACATTTCATTTAAATGATGAGTTTAAAAACTTTTTCTGTGATCATTATCAAAGTCATATGCAATGTCTCTAGATTTTCTTAATGTAATTCAGTTATAACACTTTTAACACAGTATTAGTAATCATTAGATCTTTATCTTGGATTTTGTTATGTTAGTTATTATGTCCCATTGATGAAAATCAAAAGCTTGATTTTAATGATTAAAAGATAACCTCTGATAATCTAGCAACATCCTGGAAGTGACTCACAATATAATAGTTGTGTGTCATTAAACAATTTTACACTTTTGTTTAATTGATTAATTTTTTAATGTAACTTTTAAATTTATAATTTTTGTTGTATATTTAATTAATTTATGCAATCTTTCAATTTTGTATTAATTTCTAAGCTATTCTACCTAATATATTAGTGATGTCATTACTATAGCAAGAATTTTTCTCAAGTTTGTACTTCCATAAGAATAGAACATTTTTTACATTCCTGAAGATGAGTACTTAAGCTCAAAAGCATTTGAATAATTTTTATTTATTTTTTTCATAATTAACTCCTCTACAATTTTATTCTGTTACAGTTAAGTTTAAATATTATTTATATATTCTAATATTAAAATATTCATTATTTGCATTAAAATTTGAATAAATAATCTTTTAAATAGGCCATTTTAAACTAAGTTAGATTAATTTAATAAATCCAAAAATAGTGTAAAAGAAAAATTACTGAAAAAATGAAAATAATTATAGAATTGTGATATCAAATAAATATACTGTAATTACATAAATTTTTTTGTGTGTATTTAAATATCAATAATTTGTACTATTTTAACTTTCCTTTGAATTCTCTACTGAATTTATTCACTTGGAACTTTGCCTTTCACATATGTTCTCTCATCTATAGTACCAGTAACTATTACAGGAAAATGCCAAGAGACTATTTTACATCAACACAAATGTAATTGAACAGCATATAATAATAATTTTCTATTATTTTTAAATATATTTTGTTTATATATGTAAAATTGCTAGTACAACAACATATGAACAATATATTAAATATAAATCAAAACTTGTATTTAACTTATAAATAAATTTTAAAAGACTTTTTTAAAATGTCATTTATATATTAGCATTGACATAAATTAATGTATTTTTTAAGATTATAGATAAAATAATTACTCTTATTTATTTCATAAAAAATAATGACTTATACTGGTATATTAATTAATTAAAAATTACACTTTAATGTTTATTATATAATCATTCTTTTATGTAGTAAATATATACACATACTAAAACAAAAAAACACAGCTAAAAATTTATTTTAATTTTTCTAAATCATCATAATTTTTTATTCAACTAAAAATAAAATTCTGCCAAATACTTTAAAACACTTTTTACATTCATATTCAAAAAAAGGGGGTGTAATGGATGATTATTAATATTATTATTATTGAAACTAGTTTATTTGGTATTTTTATAAATTTCAATCAAATTATATATTTTTTAAAATATTGAAATTTTACAATAAATTAATACTTTTTCATTTTTACAAATAAACTTAAAAATCTGAAATGAAGCAAATAAAACAAACAAAGTTTTAAAAGAAATTTAATATTTTTTTATTATTATTTCATTTCTCAAAAACTTCTTAAAACTATTTTATGTTATCTTTCTTTAAAAGAAATCTGTCTGTTTGAACAATTGCCAAAATGCCAATTATTCTAGTGCAGTAGCACTTCCTGCTTTTTCTACATTCAAATTCTAACTGTTTCATTGAAATGAGAAAAGGGACAAAGATTTTTAATTCTTAAAATGTATGTTAAAAATTTTAACTTGATACACTATAACTAACTGGCAAAAACCTAAAATCTTGGCTATAAGCTGTATCCCATACAAGGCTATATTTGTAAAATTCATCATGTGCAGTCTCTGCACAAGGATGACTAATACATGAAAAACCTGATTACTAGTAACACTAACTGCAATATAAAAGAAAAATGAATAAATATATAAAAACTAAAATAAAATAATAAAAACCTAGAAACTTTGGATAAATTCAAGAACACAAATAAAAAGCAAATTTTCTATTAGTCTCTTACAAAAAGAAGAGAAATTAATAGAATTCATTAACTGTGTTCAAGCACTGCCAGTTTCATATACATATAGTGTTATAATGCCATCTCAAAAGATATAAAATTGATCTAAAACTCTTGTTGGAGTATATAACCTTACCATTCCTTTATTAACATAGGTTTTATTCCATGTTTCTGTATCATTGTTTAAAATCTACATAGTCAAGATGGTTGCATTAGTCGTAATGCCTTTAGAAGCATTAATGTACTGTAATCATCTTACAAATTGATCTAATAGTGTGTTTAGCTAATAGTGTAATCAATATAATATAAATCTTGCCTATTAATAAGTTTAATGATGTAAATGCTAGCTTTATCTAATTTATCTATTTGAACCTTATGTGAGTAGTGTAAGATCTGCATAACAGTGGAATTTCTCTTTACTGTTATATCTATTGGTAAGTCCTTGATTAGAAGTCTCAGAATGTTGTCTGCAGTTTTGCCAGTAACTATCAACTTAAATAGCAAAATCCACGTAATTTTATTTGTTTGTCCTTGAATATGTTTTAAATTCAAAAATTGTAACTATTTAGAATATTAATTTCAGATGTGTTCTAATTTGTATATTCTATGCCAGTGGTTCTCAAAGTATGATCTGTGAGCATGTGCCAGGTA